ATTCCATCGAATTTATTAATATGCTTGTGCATATATGTAAAACCAGACAAAGCAATTTAAAAAAGCTTTTATATTGTGTTTGATTTTATATGCTTGCAAAAATTCCCTTGAGAGAATTTTACTGCATGGATTGTTTTGACAAAGACTTTAGACAATATATTTTCAATAAAGCTTGGACATAAGATGCCTACCCCTGTTCCTGGCAAATCTCTCTAACGAGCATAGGCATTTGTTATTATTCCAAAATCCTTTGAATTGCACTTGAAATTAGGGTCATCTGTCTCAAAAATTTTCATTACTTAGTTGATGAGTAGGCATGAAAGCATCCAAATGTTTTGAATGTTTCCATGGGGACTTCTTCTATGGTCCTCAGCACTTTCATTTCAATAAATCAGATGAGTTTGAATAACTTTGACTGGCTTGTCAGCACTAAATAATTGGTTTGGCTTAATGAGGGAATAGTATTGGCCACTCAATTATTAGAAAGTCACAAATATGGGTTTTAGATGTCATCATGTGGCTAGTACTCTTTCTTTTCAGCGTAGTCCAAGAATAGCCCACATAAATACATAAAAATGCTCAATGATAATATGTGTTAGTTTTCTATTGTTGTTGTAAAAAAATTACCACAAATTTAGTGGCTTAAAACTCATATTTATTACCTAACAGTTCTAGAGGTTAGAAGTTGTAAAATCAAGGTGTCAATAGGGTAGAATTCCTTTTGCAGCTCCAGGTAAGAATTTGTTTCCTTGTCTTTTTGAGCTTCTCGAGCTACCCACTTTCTTTGGCTTATGGAACATCCTTGTATCACTCCAACCCCTGCTACCATTGTCACATTTTCCCCTCTCATTATGAACTTCCTGCCTCCCTCTTAGAACCCTTGTAATTACACTGGCTGTACTGGATAATTCAGTGTAACACCCACATCACATTATGATCACATTATGATCTCCTGCATCCCTGAAATGTTAGACAGTTTATTTCTGATCATGACTTCCTGTTATCTATCACCCTCATTTCCTTGATATATCTATTTTCCAACCTTATTGAGACTGCCAATTTCTGGATCATTTTATTGTGCTCCAACATTGGTCCTCTTTCTTTCCTCCTCAGTTCCAACTAGGCCCATGATTCATCCTTCCAACCACCCTTGATATTCACCAGCTTGTCCTTTGTGGTACCTGCTCTTTTAAACACAACTTTCAACTTCTTTATTCTGCCTTGTCTGTTGAAGTCTCTTTGGAGGAACTCTTTAAATGGCCCTTGTTATCAACAAGGTAAATTCATGATCTTCAACCTCTCCAGGCCATCAGTGTCAAGGAGAAAGCCTTCTATGTTTTCAGAGTCTATGCTGCCCTCAGGGTGTATTACAAACTCCAACCCATCATCTATTCTCTCACTCTCTTTAGGTAATTCTTTGAGGAGAAAATTTCAGCCATCAAAAAGAAATCCTTTGTCCTGCAAACTCACTTCCAAGGACACTTGTCCATTTCTCCTTTTTTCCTGTGACTGGAGGAGGTGTTTGTTCCCTCTTAAGGTTAACCTAGAATAGTTACCAACCAAGAATACTGACATTCAATTCATGTTACCCTCATAGCTTTTGTTCTATAGATATGTGTTCTGTTTTTGAAGGATTATTCTGTAATTGCTCTTTACTTCTTTACTTTCCACTAATGTCAATAACTCCTCAATTCTCTGGAATCTAGATTCTGTCCCTAAAATTTCACTGAAAAAGCTCTGACCTACGTGCAAAAAAATCCAAAGTCCAGTTCATCATTGAACCCCATCGCAGCTTAGTCCTCCTCCAGGTGTCTTATTTAAGCAAATGATGCTATCATTGTCTCAAACACATCTTAGATGGTTTCCTCTCAATTACCCCACACTGTATCAGATACCCACAGTATACCAGATCTGTAGATTCAAGTTCCTAATACATATATTACATGTCTAAATATATAATATATAAAAATTCAATTTCGTCATGTATATTCTATATATTTAATTTCTTAATCTATACATCGTACCTAATGTTATCTATTTATGTATACTATATACATACTTTGTTTCATATCTGTATTATAGGATCAGTATTCATCTGTATTTTCTTACATTTCTTTTATACCTTTTGAAACATTTCATTATTTAATCTATCTGAAAGCATATGTATGTTGTGTATGTGCACGTGTGAGTGTGCGTGTGGTTATTCATTTGTTGCGGCACCATTCTTTCAATCATTTATTATGCCCTTACTGATGTGAAATGCCATCTTTATTATTTACTAAATCCGTATATATACTAAGGCCTGTTTCTGGGTTTGTTTTCCATTTTGCTGATTTTTCTCTGTATTTTTGAGCCACGCCACACTATTTTATTGAACTTTTATGTTTTAAAAGCTCAAGGATCTTTAATAACTTGTCCTTTTCAAGATTTTTCAGTTGTTTTTACTTGTTTATTATTGTGTTAAATTAAAAAAAAATCTTTGGAATGTAGTTATATAGTGCTTATAAATTATTTGGAGGAAGAAATTACAGCTTTAAGAATAAAGTCTTCTTTTCCAGAATTTAGTATATCTTTTCATTTTGTCTTTTAAAAAAGTCCCTCCGTAGAAATATACATTATCTGTTCATGAAAAATTATTTTATTAGAGTATCAGATTTATGTTGCTAGTATTTCATTTATGATGAGTGAAATTTTGCGATTTTTTAAAAAATTTTATTTGAGGGATATATGAAGTCCGAACAATAATTTGAGAAGCTTTTCATTGTTTTTCACCTTTGGTACAGTTTCTTGTTAAATATTCTTCTATTAACTTGCATTAGTTACTTGTTAATTTTCTTGTTCCAGAAGTTGGGTTAGAAGCGCATTCTCTCCTGAGATTGTGGTTGGTGGATGACACATGCACACAGAAAAGCAGATAAAGCATGTACATCCTCTTGAGAACTGATGGGGAAAAGCAGGGACCAGCCAAAAGGAGAAATTGCTGGTAATTTTTTTCTTAACACTCTGTGAGCAGTAGGCGGAGTCATCCTGATGCATTCTGCTCCAGGGCAAGCCAAGTTTCTGTGATGGGTCAGTGGGGGCATTAGCGTCTCCTAGGTGGATAGGTGTGTCTTAGTTCATTTCACACACCTGGAGAGGAAGCCCAGGGCATCCTGCAGGACGTGTGGCCAGGGTTCTGGGCTGAGATTCCCAGAGCAAAAATGATCCACCTCGAGAAAATCAAACCGAACCCCATCACATAAATCTATCTCATCACATAAATCTATTCTGAACATCAGTAAGGCATTAAGTCCGAACTGCTACACTGTAAGTTGAATCGGCTTTATATCTAAAGCCCACAGGCATCCATTTCTTTAGATGTCAGTTTAGTGGCCCATGTAAAAAATAGTAATTGCTGGAGGAGAGGGATAATCACAGGATCGCAGAGGAAATGCCCAGGAACTCCTTAAAAATATTCCACTCCTTGAAGTTTCCCTTCTCAGAGTCATCTGGAAAAATGGTTTCCTTTTAAATGGTGGTTTTGCAGCTTTCCTGTGTTTTTTCTTCCACATGTAATTTTTTCCCCATTAATAACATCAATTCTATAGTTACATAAAACTTTTTTAAACATAATTTTTTTTTCTCCGGTCACAATATAACTTATTTCATGCCAATACCAACATTCCCAAACACCTGAGAATAATAACAGTGTCGCAGACACCTTATTTCTGACCTTAAAAGCCTTTGATTTTTGAGATGAACATTCCTTCTCATAATATATTTTTCTATTACTAATGGTATTTATTATCAGAAATAAATGTAACATTTTTCAAATCACTTAGAGCAACTACAGAATATTTTTTTCTTTTGTGCATTATTGAGAGTTTTTAATAAAAATCTTAGTATTAACCCATCCTTAAATTTTTAGAATAAACCTTATTTAGCTTTAAAAAATTATTTGTATAATATTGGATTTATGTTGCTAGTATTTTAGTTAACGGAAATGAATTTTCTTCCTTTGCTATGTTGGCTGTTTTGAGGGTTATATTAATTTTGAAAAATAATTTGGCAAGTTTCTTCATTCTATAATTTTAGGACGATTTAAATAACATGAGAATTGTTACTTGAAAGTTTTCAAGAACTTGCTCATTAAATACTCTGGACCCAACTCTTTTGAAGATACTTAATTGATCATTAAAAAAAAAATTCCACAAATATCAGTCCATTACAGCTTTCTAATTCTTACTGAATCCATTTTTCCTTGAAAATTGCACATTTCACTGGGTCTAAAAATTTGTTGCCATAAAGCTATGTATTTTTATAGTTAAAAATTTGCTTCGCATCTGTGCTTATATTTGTGTTTCTTTCTCTTTCTTTTCAGTTAACATCAGTAGTTTGCATATTTTAATGCTATTTGTATAGATGAGATACTGTAAAAATCGATTTATCAATGCCACTGTTATTTTCCTGCTGCCTTACATAATTTCTGCTTTCATTTTTATTAGTTCTTTCCTTATATTTCCCTAAGATTTATTTTTATGTGTTTCTTACTACATAGTCTGCATTAGTATTATTTAAAAATAATTATGGTTAAATACTTTGTAAATTGGATTTTTTTTCCCCAAAAATTGTTCTTTATGGATTTATCAAAAAGATACACATTTTTAAAATTGGCAAATTATAATAACCAGGTTCAGTAAGCCCATGTTCAATAGGTAATAGAAACAAAGTAAGAAAGAAGTCACCAATACTGTAAGGGTTTGAGATGTACCATGCAGACACCAGACTAGGGGTTGCTTGGTCTTTATTAAAGTTATAGTTTGCATTTAGGAAATGTTTCACAAGAATAAATCATAAAGTCCAAAAACATTTACAGTTTAGACTAAGTCGATGTACTTATTATTAACATTGTTTCTTTGAGGCAACTGTGACATTATTGCAGTAGGGACCATCTGTCAAGTTTCTTCCAGCCTTGTATTGTGGCTCAGGTTCATTACTCCA